ATTATTATTATTATTATTATTATTATCACAACTGATGAATCGGTTGACACTTCGCCCAGCAGGTTGGCATCATTGTCACGCCGTGATCCTGCGAGAGGAACTTCTAACGATACAAAAAGTTTCAAGTATGTGTCGACCGAATGAAGAATGAATTTCGAAAGTTTATGATCAGTGAAATGCTTGAATATTTCTCAGGTTCTTAAAAAATAACGACAGTGCTATAGCTCTCGCTTTTGATGGATATGAGAGAGTTGTAACCAGCTTGGACCATCTCATATCTAATGCGCACTCATATCATAAATCAACAACTATGTTGTAGAAGGTGGTTCTAACATTCTAGTCTGTGAAGGAAACCTGAGAGGGTATGTGATCATTCGTATCACTGAGAGCTACAGTTTATCACGCTAAACATTGTGCTAATCTTGTGTTGCTGTGAGAGGTGGTTCTAAATTTAAGTTTGAAAATGCATCAGAGCGTGTTCATTGTGTGATCTGACCAATCACGTTAAAACCACTGCGAAGTAGTTTCATGTGGCACACTTGGCTTTGTTGTACATGATCTTGGTTCTCATCTGAAAGTCTGAGAATAATTTCCTGGACGATAACCGTGTGTTTGAAAGCTACTGAGCAGTGCCGGATTTATATTTCTGTATAGGGTATTTCTATGGTCTGGTTCTGTCACGAAATGCATATAGCGGTCACTCAATGAAAGAAAGCCGTTTGTGAACTCTTACATAATATTTTATATTATTTTTTCCCGTGATTGGAAAGACTGTTCCTCATTATTTTCAAAATGAGCTTGGTTTTTTTAATAGATGGTGGGAATAGGCCCAGTTGTGGTCAAAACATTTATAAAAACCTTTAAATGGACTTATGAATTTCGATACAAGGTCAGTGTATCATGCTAGGGGATTTAATACCCTCGCGCCTTGGAGAACTTGCCATGCAGTTATCAATATGGTCTTACCAGGTCAAACTAAATTTGTTTTGATCTTACTAGAGTTGATCTTAGCAATGTACGTAAGAAATTTTCCTTAAGGCGTTTGCTTTAAATGATTCCTATAATATTATTTGCCTGTCTGGGTACCTGTTAATCCTTACTGGTTGACGGACTTACCCGCCAAATGACAAAGCAGTCGAGAAAGAATCGCGGAATCTCCATTTGATTTTGCCCCACTCATAGATCGGGAAGAAGCTCACAAAGAAAGGCCCGTATTTGTTGAAGTCAGTTTTTTTAAGTCCACGACAGAGATAGATTAATTCAAAGCTGTCCACTTCAATAGTCACTGATTCAGAAGTTCGTCGTAAAGTGAGTTTGTGCCATTTGAGGTCGGTGAATGAGCCGTTTATCAACCTTTGTTTTCCCGAGCAGTTGCCCATAGAAATACGAACTCTTAATAGCCCGTTTAACAGGAAAGCATCAATGAACTCTTGAAGGCTACCGCCATCCATGTAAAACAGCATTCCGTGTGCTTTCGTCGTTTTGAAGCGGAAGACGATGGTGGAATTGTCCGTAAATTGTACTGATCTGTAAGCAGAGTAAGCAAACTTGCCGTACTTCCAGGTGTTGTTTGTTGAATGTCTTCGCTGCAAAAGTCCACCATGGACGGATTGTTGGCAGATGGTAATCGCCAAACACATCTGAACAGTGAACCAGACTTTCAACATGTTAGCAATATTCGATTTCGGTTACAAACTGTTCCCCTCTTAATGTGTATCATTCACCGAACACGGAGCAAACATTTATACTTTTTTCTTTTATCCGATCTAAGGTCGGTAAATTTCGCTCTCGGGACTGAAAATAAAATTCCCGCAACCAGTTGTTTGCAGCTCTTCTCAAAAGCGATAAGGTTGCGGTTAGGGATGAATATTGAATTCAAATTACCTCTTACATTCTCGTGTATTGACAACTAAGGGAGGACGACATCCCACTACTGATTGACATTGATTTGAAAATAATTATTCAGATTATTGCCTTTATTTCTATTTCAAAGTCCGTAGTTTAACCTCGTTAATATTTTGTCACACAGAAAATTATCTTTTGAAAATTAAAAAAAATAAATGCTATTGCAAACTTATATGTAAGTTTAGACCATTTTGTAACACATCTTGTATTTCGAGTTATTTTTATGACATCATTAGGTCTCTTTAAACAAAATCTGTACCAATCTCCACTCAAGGAGTTCTGTTGAGCAATTTCGTCCATTTATTTGTTATTAGCTCCTTATGAGTCTCCCAAGATAGTAAGAAACTACATTGAAATCCAAAGTCTCCTTCAATTCACCCCCAAAAAGCTGTTTGCATTCGTAGAATCTAACAGATATTGGTTGAAATTGCAGACTGGAACTTTAAAACCACGCTACAATAGCTACTAAAGAGGTGCGAAATGATAAGTTTAAAAGTGCTCTTGATTATAGTTTTGAATCTTTTAGTCTCTTTCACTCTAAACGGAATAACATTAGCTAAAACAGCCTAATCTAGCCAAAAGAGTTTTTATACAGTGTTTAAAGAAATTGTGAAAAGTGTCAAAATGTTCTTGAAATCGACTCCTTTACGTGAGTGCAGAAAACTACCGAGTTTTCTTGTTGACAAAATGTGATACAAGGCTTTTCGCAAAATTTTATTTAAAGATACAATAACTGATATCATGAAGTGAGGAATGACTTCTGATCTTAAATTATGATAACTATTAACTAAATATTCTGCTTTGCCTTGTTTGTTTCCTTTATTGATTTTCAAGGTTTCACATTTTTGAATATCATAGAATTCGATTCTTTGATAATTTCACAGGTAGCAGAGGTCTTATCTTTGTTGAGTTATCAAGCAAGTTTCTCCTCGGTGTAGTTTTCACGGCGAGAAGAAGTTATTCCTAAAGGATCTGATATCAGACTACACCGACCGACAGAATTTTAAATTTTTGACATTTTTTTTTTTCCTTGCTCAATTGTCGTTCCTGACCAAGCCGGTGCTAACTTCAAATCTTTCAGCGATAGATTTCGTTCACACGCATCCGGGCCATAGGAAGTCGTCAGACACCTTCGCGTACGTTTCTAGTTCAGCGACATTAGTTTCAACCAGTGTTTTTGATTATCCAGAAAAACTGCTCCAGTTTATTTACATTATGGAATTACGTTCCACCATATGGACAAGCGAAGGAAACATGTGTTTCAAACTGATTCATCTCATCCCTGATTGGCCACAAACTGATTCATCTCATCCCTGATTGGCCACAAACTGATTCATCTCATCCCTGATTGGCCGCAAACTGATTCATCTCATCCCTGATTGGCCAATGAGAATCAGAATGTCTTTGGTGTTTGGGTTCATTCGAACCTGAAGACAATATCTTCGCTTAAATTATTTTTTCCAAGAATACGGTTACCTTCAAAATGTTCAGCTCCAATACATTCCACTCCTTATTTAAGACCTCAGTAAAGTAAGTGAATCCATGATTTAAAAGCGATCAGACAGGCAGAGCTACCATACGAATTTTGAAGTATTCACTGGTTGAAAAGGCTACTCGCAACTGACATGGTCATTGCAAAGCGAATGAAGACCCATGATCCGAGAGTATGTAAAGCGCTATTCGTTTTTCCAACGAAGGCCGAGGTATTATCAGTAACAGAAGTGCCAAGAAGAACTCCCGCTGAGTTGGGGAACAGCACTGTTGACGGAAGCGAGCTTGCGTGAGTTGTGACAAGATGCTGTGAATGATTGAGTAGACCTGGAACAGAGTCCGAATGACGCACAACTGCTTTATCAACCTGTTGCCCTTCTACCTTAGGAGTGTCTTGCGTATGCGTCGTTGTTGACTGGAAACGGGTTCTGCTAGACCTCCAACCTATCTTAGATGAAGACGTGGCTTTCACAGTTTTGTGGCCTTTGGAAAAAACAGTGGGCGTGATTTTACTAGAAAAGGCCAATGATATTGAGGGAGATAAAAGCGAAGGGCTAACTTTGGCTGAATCACTGAGATTCGCATTGGGAAAGGCTAAGGGACGTCTGCAGATCAATGCTTCGTTTCAGTATCCGGGACATTCGCATTCTGTCCTGATTACGTCATCTATTGGATTACATTTCCTGCCCGAACTGCATTGACTCTGACAGTTGGCACCAGTCCATTCGCTATGAAGTAGAACTAATGGCTTGGGACTGTGTTCAGGTGTAGTTTGAGTCATATGACCAATGCAGCCCTGGAATCTGCGTAAATCAAAGTCATCAACAGGCGTTAAAGGTTTACAAACTTAACTAAGACCTTGAATGTAGCAGCATGACGTATTTTTCAGCACTAAATTATATTTTCATCGCCTCGTAAACCGCTTGGTGAAGTATTAATACTTTTAAGTTATGTATTTTTCATTAGCAATTTGACATCTCATTGCATTTCTTTCTTTGCCAAAGTTTTCTTGTAATTCTGCTCCCTTGAATTAAAAAAGTTATCAGTGATTTTAAATAGATCTGCCTCTTTTAGCCTATGTTAGAAATCTGCCCCGCACAGAATGATGTAATATCACCCACACACTTACTCGAATCCAATGGATTCGTAGACAATTCTTGGATTTGCCAGATCATTGAAACTGATATTCGCTGGAATATTACCCACGTAGAGAGCTTTCCAGCTTTCTGATTCAGTGGCGGTATATTTGCAGGAAATATATTCCGTTTTACATCCATCCACTGTAAGGGTGACATTTTCCTCGTTTCCTCTTGTCAAGCGAACTCTATGCCAACGAGAATCAGAAAAGTTTCCGTTAACTGTCAGTTCTTTCGATTTCGGTGTGCAGTTGTTGAATCTTACCCACGCGCGGAGCTTTCCTTTGACAAGGAATAAATCGAGGAAGTTTCGGGCGCCGTCATCTTGGTAAGCGAGAAAAGCAGTAGGCCTGTTAGTTTTGAAAAGGAATGATAGCTCTCCAGATATTCGCCACGCCTCATATACCGCACGAGAAGTGTTTCCATTGTAGGACAAGAAGGCACTTTCACTGGGGTTTTCCGAAGAAATTTCTCCCTTGATTCCTTGTGCGAAAAAACCAAAAATTGTTAAGGAGACGCACAAGTACATCGTTCAGTTTTATGATGAAACGCTGTCGCAGTTTTCGCAAAACGCACGTGCTCAAGTTTGCAGCGTCTCTGCGAGAAAATGCCACGCTGTACGTTTAATAGTTGTAACCCAGAACTGCTGAAATGCAGCAGGACGATCTTTTTTATCTTTTCAAGCATGTCATAAATCAAAGATATTCGCTCAAAGTGCGATAAGATCAGAGTAATTATTGAACATACGAACTCATTAGCATTTTTGACTGAAAGACCCGTATACACAGTAAGTGAAAGTTGCACCATACGAAAAGTAAAAAATATGTCAAAAAATGAAAATGGGAAGTCTCTGAATTCAATTCTTTCAATCCTTAGAACGATTTTAAAGTGCCGAAGATTTCTTCTGGGAAATATCTCAACTTGAGTTCAAAATGAATAGAATTCTACGAAGTGTGATAATTGCAGTTTTTAAATTGCATGAATACATATTTATGCTTGTTCAGTCATTGTGGTTTGAAAGGAAAACTGTCCTGAAAAAATTTAATATCAGTTTACATTAGTCTTAAAATGAAAAGCGGTCCTTTATAGTTATAGAATGCCCTCCTCTGATGAAAACCTGAACTATGTTACTTCGAACTGACTTAAAACATTAAATGCGATGCGATATACACGAGTGAATGGGGATCATGAATCGTTAAAACGTACGCGCTTTGATTTTTTACAATCGACTTTTCCTAGTGATCTAGCCTCCAGCCTTGATGACTGAGTGCTCTGCAATAACAATTTGCAGGAATGTATTTTGATCAAAGAGTCATTGATTTAGTTAATGAAAAACCCCCTGACTGGTTGGATAATTTGACCATACGTGCTTGTGGTTTTAAGTTCTTGTTTAGTTTCTCATTATTTATCCAAAAGGCAGAAACAAAGGTGTATGAAAAGTTCTCATTTTCGACTAATTAATTTCAGAACAGAGCCAAGAGAAGAAGAAAAAGCCTGATTGAGTTTCGTTGGTGGGTCGAGGGAAGAGAAGGTTCGCATTTCATTTGCGTGACTGCTGGTTGGATCATTTAGGCTGGCCATTGCCTGTTGAAGGCGGTAAGGTTGTTCTTTTGTGAGCAATTCAGTCTAAATGGGGCTTCATTTAATCAATTCGTATTAGAGCAAACTCTTCGACTGAGAACTGGCCTTGTTGGGAAAACCAAGTACTAGTGAACTTAAATTTAATTTCTTGGCAGATACTTTTCACAGAAGCAGGTTCGTTTTGAAGTGTCCTAGAGCCTTGGTGTATTGCACGATCATAACATATTCTTGTGGCCACGACCGAGGCTCATGGTGCGCCTCATGGTCGCAATGTCGCTATTGATAAATTACCGGTATTATGTATTTATTAGTAAGTCTACGTTCCCCAAGTATTTCCACTCAGCTGTGGTCGGATTTGGCAGCTTATGCTTGGCCGCAGGTGCAGACAGGGGTCTGACAAGATGGAAGATGTTCAACAAAGAGACAAAAGCGGTTGTATTTGGAGTATTAAGGGGGTACATGAATGATTTCAGGTTCTCATTAATTAGATTCTAACAAGTGCCCCTACAAGCATCATCTCATTTGACGATTTATTTTTAAAAATTGATCAAATAAAGAAAAATTCAGTTTAAAACTATTCAGCCATCCTTTCCTCGACGTACGATCTCATTGACAACACAACTTATCCCTCTCAGAGGTGTAGCGGGAATTTTTCTAAGAGGGATTCCATCCTAAACGTTCAACAGCCACCACTGATGGTGATTTACATATTTTTGCCTCCCTTTACTGTCCACAACCCCCAAAAAAGGACAGGCTACCGTTTGTGTCATTACAAATGCTATCGACTATTTTACCTTTGATTGCCTATTATTATGTTCAATGACATGCACACTGTTCTTTTATGATATTTCTTCAAGTTTCTACCTAAGATCAAGTCTGTAAGCATCAAAGTACCGAGCAAGGCTTGATCGCATAAACAGAAAAGGTCGCAGGGAGAATACGTCACATTACCAATAGGCGGCTAACGCAGTAGCAGTTTTCAGTACATGGTTAAAACAAAAAACTTGCGCGGATAGAGATTTAAACAAAAACTGTAAGACTGACTTCTCGTTTTCTTATCATCTTCTTATAATGGTGAACTTATTGAAAACAGGATCGGTTGGTGGTACTTGGAACCTCACTCGATAACTTGTTACTAATTTCACGTTTGTACATAATAAAATTTAATACTTAAATTGTTAAAGTTAAATCTTGTCATGAAATCAATATGCAACCTGATAACATGATGTAGCTCAATTATAAAAGCGACCTTACAGCAAGCTGTTCTTTATGGCAAAAATGAGTTAATTGCGCCACATTGAAGTTAAAGGACAATGAATCAACTTCTAACTTTGAGACCGGCTGAAACTCAAGTTTGTATTGAAACGTTCATAACTCGGTTCATTTCACCAGTCATTTTGTGAAAATTTTGTACAAAGAATTGCAAATTTGTAGAGATTAAGCTTCCCCACTTCGGAAAATTGTGACACGTTCTACCTTTAACTTTGATAGAACTTATGTGCAAGTTAACTGTAAACATTATTCAACCTACTAAAACTGTAGCCAACAGAGTAATTGTATTGTACAGGCTTTCCTCGTCGCAATAACAAGTCATAATCCTATTAAAGTTGTAGGTCGAACCTATGGGAAATCTTTATTTAGCGTTTTCAGTATAATTTCTTCTGGTTCTCGACGATATGACATTCCTTGAAACGTCAGAGGTGGTCCCCTGAATTACCAAATAGAGCTTGTCATAGCAAACCTGAATGGCATTGAATAGCACTGATTCACAAACCACATATCTTTGTCCATTCCAGTTAATTTGGTTAGTTTCTTTCGTCGTATTCCAGTAAAAAGTATTGGAAAGCTGCACAGCAACTCGCTTAGTTAATTTACTCTCCGCGGGCAGAAGGATCGCCATCTCCGCTTTATCTCTATCACGCATTCTTCTCTTTAAGAGAGCTACTTAAATTCAACGCCGGCTGTACAATCAAAGAATCTTTCTTCCGTGTCCTTTGTGCCAATCTAATGTCTTCCTCTGTGATTCCCACTCAGCGTGTAAGACTTTTTCTTCGGAGACAAAACTTTAGAACACTCTTACATTCTGTCGTCGTGCAATGTGACATGGATACGAGGATTGATGACAAAAGCGCCATGTTTTGGTGAGCTCATACAACTTGACGAAGAAGACTTGGGTTTAAATGATCCACTGTAACGAGAGTTCCAGCGATACAAGAAAAATAATGTCACTGAAATAGCAATGGCTGCTACAACCACTATCGCCGAGATAACCCAAAATGGCACTACTTGGGGGAGAGACTTCAGTGCGGGGACTCCAGTCGGCACAGGCTTGGGAACTTGTTCAGTTGTAGGTTGAGTCGTTGTTGAAGTCAGTTCAACTGCCATGAGATAAAGGGGAAAAAATGTTGAATTCCAGCTGAATATTTACGTGAACTTAAATACGCAAACTTAAAATTAATTTCAGGCCATTTTGGTATAATAGAGGCTTAAAAGGTCAGACACGATTTGGTATCTTGAAAACTGCAGCCTTTTTGTTCCAAATTTTCTTCACTTAATCTATAATATGGAATCTATGCGAATCTTCTCCATCCGGTGCAATCTTTTTTGCCGTTCCTTTCCCTATAAATCTTTTGTGTTTTCCTTTCTTATCGAACTAATATTTTTAGCCTCCTTAAAGATGAATATAGGTTTGCACGTTGTGAAAAATGAATGAAACTAGCTGCATAATTTGTTTCAAAGCGCCTCGATTATGTCAACCTACTCTAACACCTAAGTATGCAATCAAAACCGAATGTTTTCCTATTATCGGGGGCCTGAAGGAGGTCGCTCTCGAAGAAAGCGTTTTGTCGCTGGAACTGGGATCACAAAAAAGTGGAAATTGGACTGTCATCGAAAAGATGGTAGACACTGATAGATCGGGAAATGGGATTGAGGCCAAATGGGAGATACGCCATTCTCGGCTTGTTCTAACATAAAGTATGGACACACCTGTAGTCGTTGTGGAAATTTCAGTTTTTGGGCATTCTTCATCTTCGTCATCACCGAGCAATAAACACCCCGACCCACCACTCCCCTCGAATGTTATGGATCCATCGATCACAGTTCCAATTTTAGCAAATCTTCTGTCTGTTATTGTGGGCACGATACTGTCAAATATCTTCTTTTTACCAAAGTAAAACTCTTGTAGGTAGCCACTATAGTTCTGTTTCGAGTCAGACTTCATTAAGACATTCCTGGGACCTCCAGCGACGTACAACATCTTAGGTTTGAAATACCTGGACGACACCTTCTTTGTATCATTACATTCATGGTCTATCATTAATGTGAAATCATCACGCTCCCGATAGAACTCGACCCAGTGCCACTCGCCATCATTCACCTCACGCCTCCCTGAGAAAACTACCGGAACTGAAAAAGATGAAGACGAAAGGGGTTAGAGGCTAATCGGCATTGCAGTGGACGAGAACATTTCACCCAGGTACGTTTTGACTGGGTGTCGTAAAATCAAAACCTTTGTTATCACAGTGCCCAATCAGAACAGAGGAAATGCCTCGGGAATCAGTTAAAAACTGAAACAAGCAAACTGTCTAAAGCGCGGGAAAAGGGCGACTAACCAGGTTCTAGTTTTGGATATAATTGGCTGGGGAAGTAATGCGAGTTTTCTTAACCAATCATAGTGCTTAGCAAGGAAACTGAACATACTCCCAAGTTACTTCTACCCACAATTGAGAATGAATTTGTATGGAACGACAAGAATAAGCAACCTTACTTGTCGTTTAGTTTGACTGTTTACATTCTGTGACGATCTTTTCCATCCTAACCTTCCTCGTTCTTTTTTAGTGTAATCTTACCACACTTTTATTCATGGTTACCTTCACGTCGATAGTAGTTTTCACGTCACAATGAACGACTCAAAGGTTCAGCTAAGATTTTATTTTTGGATTAGGCTATGTAATTTTGATCTCTTTACCTTGTCCGAGGCGTAACTTCACCTTTAGCTTCCCATGTACCATTTCGATCAGGAGGTAATGATCTTGCGATAAAAGAGTGAAGATTACACCATGGTAATAGGAAGTCTTCAAGTGAAATCCTAAATAGTTTACATTCGAATCGAAATCTGCTTCTTGTCTCGCGCGAAAAACAACGTAACCACTTCCATTAAGCCAGATCGATGATGTTTCTGGTAAAACAAAAGAATATTAATCAAGTTTATGATCTCAATCATATTTCTCTCAATGATTTCTATCGACTGCTAGGCCACCAACATCGTCGTTCAACAATGGTAATTTTCAACTTGCCCTTTTGGGTTTAATGTCACTTCTTTAAATCACAAAAACAAGAAGTGTGGCATCGGGGTCATAAAATCGGGAAGATAGCTTTTGAAAATCGGTGAACAGTAAAGAGGGAAGGCGATTCAAACGTGTGTTACACAGAGAATTGACATCAGTTCAAGGAGAGAATAGATTTTGACCATTTTGGTAAGAGAAAGCCGTGTGGTCTGTGGTTAACCATCTGCCTGAGAAAACGCCTCTTTTTATTCAAAGGAAAAATTCTCCCACGCAGACTGATAACAGCTAATAAACAAATGCGGAGTAAAATCACTATAATATTAAAATGAAAATTACTACGTTGACTTTTACAACCATCGAGAACTGAGTTTTTGAGAAAAAAACTGACGAAGGTTGCAAACAGTGTGTTCTTAACTAGGTAACTAAACGCTACATATTGGGAAAAAATACGTGGACTGAGGGGGAAATTCTTTATGATACTTCCTTGAAATAAGAGATCACACTCACTAGATTTCGTTTTCAGTATTTTGTACGTTTGGTGATCAGTGCATGATTACAGTATTGTTATTTGAAATGATTTAAGTTCTTAGTTTTACATTTTGTTACGTAGAAACAAATAGATTTAATTTATTTGTTATAATTTTAGACGGGATAGTTCAATTTTAAGAACAAGGACCACATGAGATTTGTAAATTTTCGTCTGCTACTTTCCTGTAAAAAAGTACATGATGTCCGAAAAGCCGTCATTAAATGTAGACTTGTTTATAAGGATGGAAAGGGAAGGCTGTTGAGCCAAATACTACTAATGAAGGGCTATCTTTTAAAGAAAGTATCACCCAAAACGGAAACTAAGAAAAAAAAAACAATTTTATTTTTCTGTTTTCATTCCCACCTTCACTGCAGTTTGTTCCTTCAAACCTTGTCCCTTTGCAGTCGCAGTGCGCCTCAATGAAAGTATAACGACATAGTGCACCATTTTTGCATTTTCCTGTCTTGGAGCAAGGGTCCAAACATCCTGGTGTTGTTCCTTTGGTTTGCTTCAGAGGCGCCTCTCTCGTACGCCTTCTTTTGACACTATAAGTTATTCTGCTAATGCAGCCATTGAATCTAAAAATAAAACATATATCTATTACAAATGAGCGTAAGACATCATTTTCGTACAAATGTGCGCCAGTCAGCTAATTTTATGCAACAATGAAATTCCGCATAAAAACAATGTATTATTCATCGTAGGGGCTGGATTTCAGATCCCCCAATAAATTATTTATGGTATTTCTCTGCGGAATGAATTTATTAATTCTTTTCTAACGAGTAAAATGGTAAATTCTGCTTTAAAGTGGAGAAATATTACAGTTCAACGAACTCAGCTCGCTTGAGCGCAAGGAATTCATAGCAGTTCTTGGGCGAGGCGGTAAACAATAAGAAACTGGCGAAATTTTATCTTTCGAAAAAAAAAAAGGAAGGAAAGCAATGTTACGAAAATAACGATTAAATTCCCTTAGTGTGTTCGCAGTTATGGAATGTTTCAGTACAGCTGTTTTTTCGTTAACCATCCCTTAATTCATGTTTTTCTTCCTATAACTGCTTTCTTTATCCGGCATCAGTTTATATAACGCTACTGCGAATGAAAATGAAGAAACTCGTTCCCTTGTGCGGCGCATACTAAAAAATAACAGCAAAGAATATTGATCACCCGGATTTTGAGGGAACATATAAAAGCATCCTTTGTTTAAAGAAGAAAGAGAGAAAGCATGCTCTGCACTTACCCATAATGATTGCCCTCGTAGAATATAGGTGGAAAAGAGAGATCATTCAACTTCAACTGTGTAGACCACGGGATCCCACCAACGATCAAGTCACTTTTAACAATAAGATTCTTTACTCTTCCGTTATAAATCGTGCTATTGCTTAAATTGTCAACTGTAAGACGTGTCACTGCTGAGTCTCGCTGGACAGTCACTTTATGCCATCGTCCGTCATAGAGTTTGTGTCCGACGTGTAGAGTTTGTGTTAGCTCGCAGTTTCCCATTTTAAGGCGCAATCTGAGCTGCCCGTCTGCCATAGAAAGATAAATATATTGGCATTGTCCTTTGTCGTCTTGGTAAATGAGAAAACCATTTTTGCTTTCCGTTTTGAAATGAAAAGTCAAGTTCCCTGTTCTTCTCGCGTTCCATCTTTTGAAAATAGCATAGGCCGGTTCTTCTGTGAACCGAAGACCTGTACTCGCCAGAGCGCTGGCAATGAAACTGAGCTGAAAAATCACCACACCTCCAAGCATCTCACTTATGTTCCGCTCAGGACAAGATCCATATCAACTGTACAACGCCGAGAAGGAGACAAAAATGCGTGGCTTCCACTGGAACTTGTAAAAAGATTCGCGCTACACTACATGCCTGACCAGACGTGAAAGAGGCCAAGTTAACTAAACTGAACTTTCAAATTGGCAGTGCGTCACTGCAAGCCAGCATTGCTCATCTTGTTTGTGATTGGCTAATAGAATGATCTTATCCACTTCTTTTCTTATCTTCACTTTGTTGCGGCGGGAGTTGTGTTCAGTGAGCCGCTGGTTGTAGAATTTATTGAATGAGTACCAGACTTCTCAGTTACGTCACCTTACCATTGGCAAAAACGTTTACGCACGTTTTAGTGTAAGTTTCATTCGGTTTCCATTTAGTGTGGCATTCCCTATAAAACTTACTTATTCAGTCGTTTCTTTCTCTCCCTCTGATTTTAAAAAGCTCTGTTATAATGTAAAAATTTCGTGCCGATTTCTTTGTGTTGATAATCAGAACTAAACCAGTATCACTGTGAGTGAGATAAAGGAAAAACAAAAACAGGCTGCTTTCGTAATGCTTTGCAAAGTAAACAGGAACGTTTTTCCAACAGCAAAATCATTCCCAATTTTCAGCCTGATAGCTGAGTATACAACAAATTTTTTCATGTTTAGATGAAACTAAATCAGGTTTTCTCACTGAAACTTCAGTTCCAAAATTCGATTAGCTGACTGCAGAGTACTAAAATTTTTATGAAAGGTAAAAATTGAAAATCAATAGCGTCAAGGTTTCGCTCTCAAGCTTGACAAGTAAGAGAATAAATTAAATTCCAAGTATGTGAAATGAAAGAGATTATAAACCATTCCATGATGCACGGTTTATTTTTCGAATAAAGGTACACAGACAAAATCAACGCAGCAAGGGTGAGTGAAAGTACAACCTGACTGATAAGAACATTTCAAACCCTTTCAGAACTGGTCCATGTATTATAAGAACTATGTATTATAAGATGAGTCAATATTTCATTGAAAAATATTGAGTCCTTTTCGTGAATGGTAACAGGCAAAACCCCGTTGATCTCAAGATTAATTCTTCCTAATTTACTCGCCGTTTTTCCCCCAGAGTTTACCCCGCCGACGCCGCCCCTTTATCAACAAAAAAATGCCGAGATTCCCTTACCACAATGCTCTGCGATCATTATGTCCTGCAAGTGAGGCTAAGAACGTAAACATGGCGGAGGATACGCGGGTATTAAACCTTTACTTTGTTCGCCATTTATAACAATTATTTCTACAGCTGAACATGTTTAATATCTCGTCAGGTTATTTGCCTAAATCTCTGCATTGCCTTACCCTTGTTTTTTGTGGTATATTACATGGTGGCTTCGTTGCTAAGTGGAGCTTTCAAGTAAGTGATTGTCATTAGACAGCTGTTTGGGTAGTAATTTAACACTCTCTCGCATTGCTCCCGCTTTATTTATCGTTGCTGCCTTTAGTCTGAATAACTGTTATTTCCGAAAGATTTCAAAGTTAGTTAGACTTTGAAACTTTTCGACTTAGATGAAGTGATTTCTCCACAAACGAATGTCGGCGTCCAATAAGCTTCTCGTGTTTGACTGTTTTTGTTCACCATTGGGGTCGTCGCTATGCGAAGGTCACTTATCCCTTCCTCTTGTAAATAGTTTAAACAAGTAATAAGTCAATCGATACATTTGTAAGGAAAACCTTTCTCTCTACCACAGAGTCAGTGACTTTGATGGCAAGATGCCCTTTGATTTTCAGAACTGTTGCGATATGAAAGATAACAGAAATATTGGTAGGTGGAGCAGTTTTTTTTTATTTACTTTTTGATTTGAATTAGCAAATACAGTGTCAATCGATGGTCATTTGGACGATGGCATGAATATCCTGTACAGTGTAATGTTTCTGGTCTTCATCTTCTGCTTTATTTTGCAGAAAGGTGTTTCAAATTTTTCTCTTAGTGAGTACAAAACAAATTGTAGTCTACCATATCTCTTGTCCTTCACGTATGGTTAGAGATAACATTTGATCTTTTGTCTTTCCAGTGACACTACTGTCTTTGTTGCTGACGTACACCCTTACTGCAATAATCTTTATCATCTTCTTGAGAAAGAGAATTTGGGATTATGCGATTACAATAGGATTTGTTCATCTTCTGTTGACCTGTGCTGGTAAGAATTGTTTCTATAAAGAAGGTTTAGACACTGATGTGAGTGATTCCACAGAAAATGAATGTATGTGTTTTATTTAGATTGAAAAAGAATCAAAATTATGCATAAGGCATAGCTGAGCATGGTATGAAGAATTCAGGTCTTATTTAACAGCCAACAAACACATTTATTGGCAGTTGAATTGCAAATAGAGGTCCCTAAGCATTTGAATATCCAAAGCTAGTGCTTAACATTGGACATAGATATAATAATGGTTTTTTAAAAAGAACAATAAAACAGTGACAATGGCAAGGATTTGAGCCCTATTATTCCTTGTCCCAACAGTAATGTAAATGAATTGAAAGAAGCTGTCAAAGGGAAGGATGATACTGTAGATATATCAGACTATTGTGAAGTTCAATTAACTATTCAAATTTCATAACATGTTGAGAAGGGAAAAGGAAGTCATTAATCCTTGGTCATACCTCATAGCCCAGTAACACACTTCAATGCAATTTCAGAATCTCTAACAGTTCACAAGGTTTGATTTCTAAAATTTATGTAAAAATGTAAAGAACTCACTATCATTAAACTGGAAATATGCAAGTAACATATGTAGGTGTATCAAATGAAAAATGATTTAGTGGGACAATTTGGTGTACATTATTTTTGTTGAGATGATTATTATTGATTTCAGTCATGCAGGCTTTCCCGACAAATTGGAAGTGGTGGATTGCCTTTCGTAAGTTTGAAATATTTGTCAGTGTGTGTTAACTTTATCACATTTTTAGTCATATTGTACAGGGATAGTGGTGAAAACAAAAGGAATTCAGGAGATACTAAAAAATGGATTGTGTGGTTCCAGAAAATATCCATACCCCCCACAGAAGGATTTGCTGTATGACACCCCTCCCCCCTGGATTTTCCGAAATTGGCCCCAAAATTAACCCTCCCCTCCCCTCCGGAATTTCCAAAAATTTCACACACCCCCTAGAGATATTGCTATCTCTTATTGAAGAGAACAGATATTAAGTACTTTTTTTCACTAGGATGCCAAATTTTGTGAGTTTCATGTATTTTTATTGAATTCTTTAACGGGTAAAGGAAATTCCTTATGCAAATTCCTGATGCGCTCGAGTCACAAACAAATTTTGAGTTTCATGTATTGTCAGCTTTTCTGTTGAATTTTACAACAGATCAGCGAATTCCTTATGCACTCAAGTCACAAAGAAATTGTTGACAAAGTTCTTGGCCACAGGCAAATGAAATGCAAGATCGTGTGGGAAGTATAACTGTACTTCCTCTCACTGCAGTAAGAAGAAAGCAAAGAGATCAGGACCTCGTTGTGCGATCAGACGGTGCGAGTATCGAATTTCATTCTACCAAATTTGCATACTTGAGTTAGTGATAAAATTGCTTGTCGCTGATTCTATTGACAATAAAATTGTTATACAAAGTTTGATGTGCTGGAAAAGACTCGTGTAACTTCCTTGTGATAGAGAAACAGTCAAGTGCAGAAGAATGTAACCAATTAAAAGTTTTTTTCCATGTTTTGTGTTCTCGAAAGTTTTTGTTCTGCTGGCAAGAAAATAAACTACCTAAGCGTATAAGATAAAAGAAATACAATTTATTCTTCACCCTAAAGGTATCCATTTGATACAATTTGAACAACTATTCAAAATCTGGTAGTACCCAAACTTTTGAACTGTTTTGTGAAATGTTTTCTTGAAGGTTGGCCTAAAGACATAAAAATGCCTTGCTGGAGGTATCAGTCAGATCTTTTTCACGTTAAATGGATTATCGTTCGTGCCTTTGCAAACTGATCTCAAAGTTGTTCATGAACCACGTTGCAAGTATATTTATTTAGCTTTAAATGGAGATTATTCGGAAAGTGTTCTTTTGCTGCTATACCATCACCTCAAGATAAACACCAGTGCGGAAATGCATGAACGTGAACTTGTGGTAAAAGTGAATATCCTTTACAAATAAGAACGAGTGTGACTGTAAACTGAAAGATAAAAGATTTTCAAAAAACAGCGCACAAACACCTTTGTAATCACTATCATTCTGATCACGTGAAACGCTTTATTTTGATGTTTTTAAACGAGGCTCAAGTAGGTCATAACTCACTCGTGCTCTGAAGGATAAAAGAGGTTGACTGAACATAAAATTGATGTTTTGCTATAAGTTTCAAGCAGGTCATTAATCGCTTGTATTTTATATCTTTGCAGATAAATTGTCATGGTAAATTTTTGTGTTTTTTCTTTGTTACTCTCTTATGCACCACAAGAACCCTCTGGAAATATTTCCCTATTGTCATCCCCCCTCCCCCCTGGAAAATTAGGCAAATTGACCCCCTCCCCCTGGAAAATCCAATCCCTTCCGTGGGGGGTATGGATATTTTCTGGAACCACACATTACAAAAAATTGTTGTAGGATAACTGTTTTCTCAAAAGAGGTTGATTGATAACCAGATAAATCTAATGGTTGAAAAACTTTTACTCTTTAAAACTATTGTTGAACTGCAAGCATTAGTATTCTTAGAGAAATAGTTTTTCATTTTGTCATGATTGTGAGACAAAGAAACATTTCCAGTCTCTATACAAATCAAACCTCAGACTCTACCAGGATCAGCAATGTTGAAAGTGCCTTTCGAGTAAACAGAATTATAAAGATGGTAGAAGATATAACTCTCTTCCCCTGAGGAATCCATAACACTTATTTGAAGTTCCCGGAGGAAATGTGTGGATAATATAGATATATCGAGATTAAACTGGATGAATGAAACAAAACACACCATTTTTTGTATGACAATAATAATACTAATTAATAATAATAACCTTTATTTTAAGAGGGTGATACCAATTACTTTTGAAAGTGTTCTCCCTAGTGGCCCTCTAAAACACCCACCCATCCCACCCCAGGGGAGGACATCCATCACACAGTAATCTCATGTGTGGGAAATTAACGTCTCCTACCCCTAACCCTGCAGGAGACAGGACCTCCATTTTTTCGTCCCTATCCGAGAAGACTAGAATATCTAACCATTTCTTGATGTTATAGAAAGGTAGCAAAGTCTTCTCAATTATTTTAAGACCCTGAGTGATGGTCTGGCTGGGGCTCGAACCCTCGACCTCCCACACAACAGTCCAGGGCTCTATCCACTGAGCTAACCAGGAGGTGGTACAGGGTTCATACAGGTCATGGAAAACCTGGAAAGTCATGGCATTTCAAAATTTCATTCTCTAGGCCTGGAAAGTCATGAAATTTAGTTGTGGGTCATGGAAAGTGATGGAAAATCAATATGCACTCTATGAGTGAAAGGCAATAAGACCAAAAGTTGAAAAGTTAACTGATGAGTCCAAAAATCAGATTTAATTTCATTAGAAATAAACCGAAGCATGTATTGTGAGAATGTTTGCAAACAGGTCATGGAATCTTTCAAAAGGTCATAGAAAAAGTCAAAGTCATGGAATTTTAACAGGTCAAAAGTGTACGAAACCTGTGATAGTATTACATTCAACTGAATTTGCAGCCACTCCCAAAACCAAAGGGAATTGTATAAAAATTATCCAACTCACTTAGCAGTCTTATGAAGCCCATGCTTCAGATACCACACTTGAAATTTATGCTTTATGATGTTTAATGCAGCCCCTATTTGTCTTTCAGTGTCATCTGTGCTGTTCATGGCCTTATTTGGTGAAATAGCTGTCAGATGTTTGCTTGAAAAGAAGACACAGTCAGCAAGTATCAGTCCTCAAGAAAATGTGATTACATGATGGTCATTAAGTGTTCAAAGAGAATCTATCGCAGGGTTCTTGTTAAGAGCTAGTCACTGGTTATTTTTAATGGCTGTTCAAGTAAATGTTACGAGTTATGTCACTGAGACCCTGGACTGAAATATTCACCAAAGTTATCCAACAATATTTTCAATTTTTTGGATAAATACTTCTTGTCTTCTTCCAACCAATGTCATGAAGATATCTATCATGTGTTACCAGTTTGAAAATACATCATATGTTGAAGAAATTCCGCTATTTTTTACCTAATGCATCCCTTGCAGTCACCTTACAAAATGACCTTTTCCATATTTCCTTTCTATCCTCTCACAGCCAAATGAAAAGGCCCAACATTTATTGAGAAATGTCATGGTTGACAACATGATGTCCATGCATGGAAAACCTGCCCCTAGACCCCAGTGGGGGCCTATGTGGCTCACACACCTCTAACATGGGGGAAGGTCACAAAGTTACTTGCTATTTCTTACTTTTTACCTCCTTTGTAAAAACATAGCAAGAACCCTGTATTGTAGAATTAATTAGGGTAGCGATACAAGGCAGTGTGTATCTAAATATTTTTATAGGAAGATGAAAAGTGCTACATTTTGTAACAATTTATTAAAGATCAGTGTTGACAAACATTGATTAAAGAAAAAAGGTTACTATATGTGGTAACTGTACTTAAAATCAGTAAACGTGACTTATTTTGGCCTGGTTGTATTTTAGTTGTTACTGACCTCTGGAGAGCCTCTGCTGAGCTACTGCCAAGCCATTTTATTTTCTAGGGAACTGTTGTTTTGTTAAGAGAAAAAAAAGTCCTGCTACTTGGGGATAATAGATTAGGAACCGGGCATTAGGTTGAGATTAAACTTAATAATGAAGAAGCTTCATTAGGAATTGTTTGTGAGGGAAATGTTGCTCAGAAAAATATTACCCTCACACAAAGAGTTTGGTTTAAACCCTTCTTATTAAAGTTGCCTCCAAAACAGCTCTAGTGGTTCATTACAGCAAATTCTCCTCATGTTCTTTGTAGCATGAAGCAAATAGTGGCCAGGACAATTAGTTTAGGGTATAAGCTGAGTTATTACTAAGATGAAGGGAATTTCACGTGGTTTGCCTTTGCTATCCTGACTCGCTTTCATTATGTGTTATATGTACAGAAAGTATTTTAATATGATGAGGGTACAGGAGGTCTCTCAGATTTTGCTGATCTGAAAACATACACCAGAAATTTGGCTGACAAATGCCATCAGTGATATTGATGATTTGTGGCTTTCCTTAGTCTAAAACAAATGTAGGAGCTAGCCTCCTGGTTAGCTCAATGGATAGAGCGCTGGACTGTTGTGCGGGAGGTCGAGGGTTCGAGCCCCGGCCGGACCAACACTCAAGGTCTTAAAATAATTGAGAAGAATATGCTACCTTTCTATAACATCAAGAAATGGTTAGATATCCTAGTCTTCTCGNTAAGCTGTATACAGCAACCAGGAAAGGTTTTATTTTAATATTTAAGTTGTTTAGAAAAGTACATTTCATTTTAAAACAAAAACCATGGCAAGGAAGAGAAAATATTTAAACAAGGCCATCAAAAAGAGTAACTGCATCGTTAAATTGATTATCAGCAAGTTATTTTTATTACCAGCATTAATTATGTACAATAAAATGATCTGAAATATGAATAATTAAATAATAATAATTAGAAGATAATTATAATTAAGGTCTTAGGAGAACAAGGTTTATTAATAAGAGTATCATCATACTTCTCGAGCAAGTCTAAAAGCACACTGATTAAAAAGGTTTGAAAAAAAAAACAAAATAAAAATTTTAAAATGTAAAACTTCCATTTGTATTTCATTGTTTGATAAGCAATAGTTTTTCCATCATTTTTGAAAAGTTTATCTGCAAGTTGACTCCCTCACCGAGTGCTTTCACGAAATCATTACTTATATTTTAACTTAACAGCTCAATCTGAGAAATTGCTCTCTACAAATAGCTTAGTGGACTAGTTGTGTTTCCAGCCTCCTCCCACTTGCTGGTGGTGTGTAGGTATTAGCCATGCGAGGTGATGTCACAGGCACAGGAGAAGCAGCACTTTGCATAGCAGTTTCAAAGGGAGCATTCTCCACAACAGGAGTATGGGATGCACTCTTAATGGTACGAAACACTGTTCCTTTGTTCATCATGCTGTGGGGAACTTCCTTCATCTTTTGTCGCACTTCCACACTTCTGCTCTCTAGAGCAAGCGAGTTGTTCTTTATTGATAGATCCTCATTGATTCTCTCCAAGTTACTGCGCAGAGCCTGAAGTGCATTCTCTGCTTCACGGAGTTTCTCATTCAGTGATCTGATTGACCCACCGATTTCGGCAACTTCATGGCACAACTGGTACTGAGGTTGATCACGACACAGTTCAACATTTGGTCTGTAGGTTCTGTTCTCCAGACGTGTTTGTGCAACCTGGAAATACAAAAAACATCAAATGATGTTAACTAAATAACTATACTCAATCTATTTTAACCATTGCTCCTACTAGATTTTTTATCATATGGAAACCAACTGTAACATTTTTATTTGAAAAAGAAACCCAGCCACCAAATGTTTGCCATAAGTGCTTGGTTATTGAATTAAAAAATGTGAAATGAACCATGGATTGATTAAATTGCCAAGATAGGGTCATTTTATAAGTTCACATACATAATACAAAAAAATATGCTAAAAATGATGGGAACTAGTAACTTACCATCATTGGTGCATTCTTAGCATCAATTGCCTCCTTGATTCCCTTGATGTCATTTTCCATAGTAGAAATTTCTTGTTGGGTCTAAGAAGGAAGAATAGTAAAATTGAACATCTACGATTTGTTCTAGGTCTTTTTTGTTTTTGATTTGTTCTAGGCTTTTTTTTTTCTCTTAATTTGTCCATCTGAGTGAAGTATAATTTGCTTTTTTTCTTCAATTTAGAACTACCTGCATACAAAATTAACATACTTGCAACACCAAGACTCTTTTTTCTCTGGACAACACTAATTGATCAATAGTGAATTTAAAAATTATTACTAACATTTTTCTGTTGCCATTCCAACTCTGACTTGGCCTGATTAGTCTCATGAATCCTTTTGCGAAATGCATATTCAGTGGCCTGCCTCTGAGCCTCAAGATCATTAGCTGTCTGCTGTAAGGTGGCAAAAATTGCTTCTCTGAGGTGCCTGGATGCCTTCATCTCAGCCTCTGCTCGCAATTTATTGTAGTTTGAGAAGGAGTCCCAAGTCTCGGGTGTAACACTTCCCTTCACAGTGCGTGTGGGGTGCACTTGAAAGCCAATGTTGGCAGAGTTGTTGTTTAGCCTCCAACATTCGCCATCTAGCTCCAAGGTGGTGTGTTTGTCTGTAATGTCAAGATGCAGTTGATGACGAGCTTCTTGGAGGAGACTACAGAAAACGGGGGAAAAAAGAAAAATTCATTTTTAATGATTTATCTTCCCAAAAGTTTAAGCTGGTTGTAAGTGCTTACAGAATTAATTCCTTGACACCAGGATTATTAGCGTATGTTGACTAGTGTGTTTCTAGGTGCAAGGAAGGAGGGTATGTTGGGTGTACAAGACCTCTGTCTCTATTTGTGAAGACCTAAGGAAAGGGTAAGGATTTATAACAAAATAACTAATCCTCCCTCTCTAACTAAATGATCCTACATGTACCTTCATTCTTACAATCTGGCACCATTGACTCAGGAGTGATACAGAATATTATAAAGGCAAGTTGATAGATATACAGGAAATAATTATTATGACTTACCAGAGTTGTTCAAAAGCTTCACTGACTTTCTGCTGAAGAAGAGCTTTTGTTCCCTCAATCACTTCCACCTCCTGAAAAAATTGAATAAAAAAATAAAAACGTTAATCCATCAACAGAGCATAACCCTTAAGTATTGTGATATGTGGTGAGAAGTTACATGTATTTCTTAATTTATCAAAGTTTTCCTGCTGATTTAAAATTGAAAGGATATGAGGTGTTTCAAATTTTGAAGGTTTTAAAATGTTTATTGCTTACTTTCAAGTAAAAAATTCATTGTTATCGAAAGATTAGGAGTTTAAAAGTATTCCGCTGACAATTCACTTTGGTCAACAATCATACTTTGTTCGTTACCTTATGAAGCTGTGCTTCAACTTCGTCTCGTACGAGATCAATATTTTGTCTGTTTTCTCTCAACATCAAACACTCCAGGGTGATGTCAAGGGGAACTTTCTTTGCCTCCAGAGCGCGTTCTGTTCGTTCTTTTTCTTCTTGTAACAAAGCAGTCTCTGCATCTGTTTCAGCCAGGCATCTTTCTAAGCTTCTCTTCCAGTTGTTTATGTCATGTATCCTGTTTTCAAGTTTTGTGCTGCTGTCGTGTTGAGTCCATCGCGTATGATTGTCTGTCTCGTTTCGCAGAAAGCGACTTTCTTGACGGACACGATGTGAAGCATCTCGCTGGCGCTCAGCATTCGTTCTTATGATTGTGTTTGATGTGTGCCAATCCGACACTGCAAAACGTGGAGGAATCTTAGGGTCCGTCAAAGCCATTTTTCGGATTCTTACAAGAAAAATTTCCAGCGAACTTTTCTCGCTAAGAAGATCTGAAATGAATGAGTTTACGCAGTAACCATAGTATCATAGTAACCATAGTAACCATAGTATTTTTACAGCTGGCGTTTTTTGTTTCTATAGCAACGACACCCGAGAGGAGACTGGGTTCAGCTAGTCCCAGATTCACGAGGTTCTTTCGCAGACATCTGTGCCTGGCTGTTTTTCGTCAAGGGAAGTAAACCTCACGCAATGGTTTTGTATTTTCAAAGCAATGGTAAGAGTGTTAGGAATTCTTTGCTACTCAAGGGCAAAATTAATTAATTTATTTTTCTTTCCCTAGTTGTCTCACCGCCGTACACTATTTACATGGGCGCAGATAAACATGAAAGTGAGTGATACTACACACTCTTAAGTTAATACACGTGCATGATTGAAACATTTTTATCGATAAACCTTTTTACTCCCAAGATCTGTAAGAAATTGTCCCTTCTGGCTGCTCTGCATTTTCTTTTAACTCATTCAAGGAAATTCAAATATCTGTACATCCCTTTAGCAAGGTTCTCTTACAACCTCTGTTTATTCGCATAAAGATAGCAGGGTCTCCTACAGGTGAAGAGTTTGTGAGTTGTTATGACCTGTTTTCTGAATGTTGTGTTGATGTTTTAAGGACGTTTTAAGTCACATGCTAAGCTTGTCTGGGAGTTCAAGAGCTAAGTCCCGTCTTCTTATGATGTTTCAACAATGTTGTAAATTTATTTATGGAGTGTTTTTACCACCATGCAGACGAGGAGTTGATAAAATGGGGATTTCCAGAGGATGTTTGGTGAGTATTAAAACAAATACCTAATTATGAATTGTGCATGTGCATTTACAACCATAGTAAGGGAGGTTGTTGATCGCAGACACAGAAATTCAACCTTTAGTTACAATGAGTTTCTGGTAAGATGACAGATGTACTGATTTCAGTGGTTCAGATAATAACACTTTGGTAAGTAGTATTAAGGTTAGTTCCATAACATAACTGAAAACAACTTTCTTTGGTTTACTTTTGTAACATGCACATATTGTCTTCTTCAGGTTTCATGTTGATAAGTTATCATCAGCCCATGTTTACCTTAGATTACGAAAGGTAAATCAAGGTTACTTTTGATCTGTTCATTAAAAAATCTGTTTTTCCTATGTAATTTTTGAAGCTTTATTATTCTTACGATAAGCAGTGTAGATGGGAAACCTTTTATTTTTCCTTTTTGGTTAGGGTGAAACTCTAGATGACATTCCTATGACAGTTTTAACAGATTGTGCACAGCTTGTAAAAGCCAATAGCATTCAAGGTACATGTCTATTAACTTGTTATTTTCAGGACTACCTTATTAATTATGTGGGATGCAGTAACCAATTAGGCAGTATTGTGAACTCTGGATTTAAAATTTAGGTTTTGACCCCTGGTAGACATCATTGTGTTGTGTTGTGTTCTTGCACTAGAGGCTTTTATCCTCATGGTAGCTCACTCCATCTAGGGGTAGGAATGGGTACCAGTGAACTGTCAGGGAAACAATGTAAAAGGAAGGGATTGCAGTATTGAGTAGCAGTATTTCATATAACTTGCAGCTATTAAAAGTGGGATGTTCAGCGGCTCTATGAACCACTTGTCTTACGTGTAAGACTTTGATTACTTATTGTTCAGTAACAGAGGTTTATATGGTAGTTCTTATATTTTTTTATATTTTTAGAATGATTCTAATGCTGCTATAAAGTTCAAATTGATTGAAACCACAGTGGAACCTCTATTTAACAAAGTGCCAAGGGACTGGGGAAATCAGTTCATTATATTGAGGGTTTGTTATATCGAGGTTCTGTGGTATACATTTTATTATAACTTCAGCTAGGCTGAAACTGAAGTTTTGTTCATTATATTGAGGACTTCATCATATAGAGGTTCGTTACATTGAGGTTCCACTGTATTTTCTTGATTTTGTATGTTTATATGGGTTATCTTTCGAAAACTTTTCATTACATTTTTTCTTGATTTAGCTTTAATTTGAAATTGATACAGATTCATTTTAAACCACAAAAAATTGTCATTGATGGTTGAAATATTTTCTGTGCTGTGTCTTATCCTTTGATACCTTCTTGGGAATGTTTTAATTTCTATTACCTGTAAACTGTCTTTTCCCCAGGAAACAAGATGAACAATATTGCTGTTGTTTATACCCTCTGGGATAATTTGAAAAAGACAGCTGACATGGAGGTTGGACAAGTGGGTTTTCACATTAATAAAGAGGTACTTTATAATCCTGAAACACAACCTGAGTAGCTTAAGTATATTTTACATGAGTGTTGATGTGGTGTAGAAGTTCGCACACCAGATTCCAAATCAAGAGGAATGTATTTGAGCTGCAATCATGGCTATTTGGTTGTGTTGTGAGCAGGAAACTTTCCCCTCACAATACCTCTTTTCAGAAGAGAGCGTAACTTAAGACTTATGAACTGTCGAGAACACTTCATGACGTATCACTGCCATTACTATTCCTTTCGTTATTTTTATCAAATACTATACGTGGTCTTACACTGTCAATAAACTGTAGATAAAATTCGTTCATTTCTTATAATACCAACATGAAACTCAAGTCTTCTTTCTTATTTCTACCTCAAGGTGCGGATAATTAAAGTAGAAAAAAGAATAAATGAAATCGTGAACAGGTTAAATAAAACAAAAGAAGAAAAGTTTCCAAACCTACGAGAGGAAAGGGAGGAGAGAGATCGACTGGAGAGAGAAGATGGAAAACAGAAATTAAGAGAACAGGTAAAAATAATTATTATTCAATGATCAACTGATATATTCAGATACATTGTCACCTCAATAAACACTGGAGTTTTTTTAATTCTGTTCATTCTTGATATGATTGTGAAGCGTGAGTAGTCCAGTGGTCAGTGCGCTGGACTCTGGGTCGGTTGGCCCGGGTTCAAGTCCCGGCTGGGGCATGACGTTGTGTTTTTAAGCAAGACACTTCACTCACATTGCTTTGTCTTCTCAGAGAAGATGTAGAGCTGTAGGTCCCGTCTCCTGCAGGGTCAGGAGCAGGAGACGTAAATTTCCCATGCACGAGATAGCTGTGTAGTGAATGTCCTCCCCGGGGTGGGATGGGTGGGAAGGTGAGATTGCTACATGGACTGAAGCAGCTGCCAGAGATGCCTGATAAAAATGCTGACATCCGATCTCAACCTTACGATACTGTTAAGTGCAACTGAACATATCCACATAAAAGTGTGCGCTATATAAATGTAAAAATGTTTAAAAATGTAAAATATACATTAATATTTACTTCTTTGGCAACAAGAAGCAGTAGGAAAGGTAACAAATTATATCTTAAACAAAGTGTCGGCCAATGTAATAATCAATGTTGAGCCAATTGTCTGTTGATTGTCATCTGTTTATTTACCACCTTGTCCTTCGAGGGCATATTAAGTATTGGTGATATGACAGGTGTATTGGTGATAAACTCGGCCTATTATAACATCTCAAAATCAATTCTCTTTAGTTTCTTTGATATTTCTAATGTGAACTTTTTTACTTAGTTGAATACAAGCTGGGACTGGGTTAAGCTTTGACTTTGATTAAGGCTGTGATACTTTGGCAATCATATTAGATTCTGTAGTGTCTGATAATATTTTGTTATTTTCACTTATTAGAGACAGAGGGAAAAGGAAGAAGAGAAAAGAAGAAAAGAAGAAGCTGCGTTGAGGTATTTCTCTTTAACTACTTTTGCCAATATTTGAAGCTTCTTACATGATTAAGTGTAGGTCTGAATGGAATCATGGGTAGGGTCATTGTGTTCTGTTTATGTTTCAGACTCCACTCTTTGCAGGCGGGAGATAGGGGAGGTAACCTGTTACAGACTAGGATCTAATCCTGGAGGAGTAACTGTACTTCTAGTTTAATTTCTTGGAAACAGGGAGTGGGATATGCTGTGGCCTAATGGCCCACTGGATATATATGGTCTAAGCAAGGTGTGTCCATCAGCCAGTCAGAACACGGGATTGGCTTCATATTGCCAGTAAGGTCTGCTGGCCATATGTTCTTGAGAAAAACAATTCACGTTCATAGTGTTGCTCTCTATCCAGGAATATAAATGGATATTAGAAAATTTTTAGGGAAGCACAAAGAATTACAAGGGGGTTACCTTGGGATGGACTGGCATCCCATCCAGGGATGAGTAGTACCATGGTGAAACTCTGAGTCACTTCATGTTATGGAAACTGGGATAAGTGTTTCCCAGATGGGCCCCTTGGCTTGAGTACAGACTTTTTTTTTTATTAGAAACATGATAAACAGCAGCAGGCTCTGTGTTTCCAATATTGATCTCGCGTGTATAGGTTTCTCACTGTTTTATAGACTTTCAAATGTAATCAAGTCTCTCCCAATTGACTGTTTGTACATTTTATACTACACATACAATTTTCAATGACTGTATAATCTATACTTTGTAGAAGCTATGACTCTCTGATGGACTCAGGAAAGATGAAATCTAATAAGGTCAGTTGATAATTATTTATCATCTTATTTTATATAGACTTCTTCTCCATAGATTGAGGTAAATTGGTTATACTATGCTGAACAACACTGTTTTTGACAGAGTTGCACTTCTATGGTTGGTATTAGAAACAGCATCATCTCCAAGATACCCACTCACATAATTCCATAAGATAGATTTTTACTTCCTGAATTGTCATTTCCAGTGATTTTTCTCATTCTGCCCTTTAAATTGTCTAGTAAAGTTATTTAAAACTTTCTTAAATTGTTTCCTCCTTTGGTCCAGGTAAATAACCATAATCTCAGCTTACTTCTATAAAAGTGTAAAAAAGAAAAAAATTATAGTTTTAACTATACTTGTCTATGACATATGTATCTTTTCATCTGGATGGTCTTCCCCAGTTCTGAAGGAAAACTTCACTTTTTTAAATTGGAGTGTAATAATCACTTATGAAATTCTGTGTTGTTAGGATGGACAATCCGATACTGATGTGATATCTGTGTTGTTAGGATGGACAATCCAATACTGATGTGATATCTCTGTTATATCTGTGTTATATCTGATGTGATATCTGTGTTGTTAGGATGGACAATCCGATACTGATGTGATATCTGAC